CCCCCCCCAGCCTCCAAAGAATTTAATCTGCTGGACAACAAACAATACTGTTATAAAACTTTGAAAACAAGAGGGCGCGGCCTCCCAACAAGAAGAAAGGCATGCTGGGTAACGGCCCTAGGGAGCGTGCCAGGCCTGAGATGGAGCCAGGCAAGAGCCCAGTTGGCTGAGTACCTGGGCGCCTGCCCCTGCCTAGCCCACTAGCCAAGCCATCCCCAGTCCAGAGGGAAAGGAACTGAAACAAGGTGGGGGGCAGAGAAGCACTTGAAAAAGGGAAGTTGTATGTGCTCCTCTCTCTCTGATCTGATGGAAATGCACTAGACTGTGAAACTTCCTCCTCCACCTCCTCTCCTGTCCCTCCCTTTCACCACCCTCCTCCCTGCCCTATTCTCCCTCCTCCTCCTGCCTCCTCCTGCTACTCACTGTTCCTGAGACTGTCAGAGTCCTGATAACAGAATGAGACTGGAATCGCAGTGTAGGTGCAGCTACTAGCTGGACAGCTGAAGGAGAAACAGGAGAGAAAGCGGGCTCGCTGCTGGCTTTGGACTTGGAACTCCTCCCCCCCCCCCCTTAAGGAAGTGGAACCATGTCACAGGGTGTGCCCAGTCCATGTGCTCTGCCAGGTGTGTGCACAGGTACTGGGTAGAACTGCCACTCGGAGGTTAGTGGACATACCCTGGGCTTCCTGGTGCCCCCTTGGCTGTGCTCTGTTCTGGGAGGCTGACTGACTTGCTGAAAATGCTCGCTTCTTTGAGATGCTCTGCTGCCCCTCCCGGGAGGAGTAGAGGTGGGGGCATGCCTCTGGAGGAGCTCCTGGGGATAGGAACGTACTTTCCCAGGAGCAGACACGACGTGGCCCCATGAGTGTGGCTCCTGGTAGGATACCTCTGTCTGTTAGTTACTTCTCAGTGGCTGAAGGAGGGGGTGACCCAGCTCTGCCTGGGGAGATGGGGATGCTGGGTTCTGGTATCTCTTCCCCAACCTCCAGAGATAGGTTTCACCTGAGACAGAAGTTTTGCTTCTGAGCCTGTCTTCACTGAGTCAAGTAGATGATTTGGGAGTGCTCAGGGAGCAGTGGTGGTGTTTTCCTTTGGATCCGATTGGTTTGGACCCATCAACTACGTGGTGGGCATTGTGTTTGTGTAATAGACCATGGACACACTCATTTTTCTTCTTGTGGAAAGCACTGGCTTCCTTGAAAGCAGCTTGGGGCCATGCCTGTCCTCCTCCGCCAGAACTGAGTCCTTCTTCCCGGGAGCATGAAGACATCATGCTCTAGTCTTCATTCCGCCCCGCCTCCTTCCCTTCGTGCCCTAGTGTCTGTCTCCTGCTTCGCTCCCACCCCCGAACATCCCATCTCATTCCAGGGGTAGAGTAGCCTTGGTGCATCCTTCCATTTTATTCAGCAGTCCCAACCAAGGCCCAGGACTGAGTCAGGGGGTTTTTGTCAGTGGGCTGAGGAAGAAACAGAAAACCTCAGTTGAGGAGTGCAGCTGCCTAGGAACATAGGCCAAACCCCTGGCCTGGGGGAGACCAGAAGAGCCACTGCTGGGCCTACATAGGCTTGGAAAGCTATTGCTTCTTGCCCTGTTGCTTGAGTAGACATGTGGGGGGTCCGTGACATGTGGGTTGGGGGGGTCTGGAGCATGGTATTCCCACATTAGGATTCAGGGGCTGGGAAATGCAGTGGTCCCTGGGTGCTGAGTACTCCTTAGGGAAGGGAGCCAGAAAGAGCCCCGTGGAGGTTTTTGGGGAGTCTGGGCAGCCACTGGCTCTATGCTCCCTTCCACCCCTGGCCCTCATGCACATGTCCTTTATTTTATCACCCTTTCCTCTGATTCATTGACCACGGCCCCCACCCTGACAGCTAAAGACACAGTGCCTCCCGGAGTGACAGGAAGCTAGGCTAGCCTTTCAGTTCATACACAACGGTCTGGCACTGTCTTGAGGGCAGGACGTTCTCCTTTTTCGAAAGGGCCTTCTTCTCCAGGCCTTTCTCTCACCAAGAAGAGCTCTTCTTCACTGCCAGGAACCCTGAAACCAGCATTCCCAGAGGTGAGAAGATGAACCATCTGGGCTCAGCTTCCGGCACCCTCCCCCATCTGGCTGGAACTTGCATCAGTCACGTAAGTAGCTGTGACTCAGCACCCAGCGCTGGGTCAGGAGGGAGAAGCTGCTGCCTTGGCAGAAGCCTTCCCACGTTCTGGATTTGAACACGCTGTGGTAGCGGCGGAACGAGCAAGCAGGATTAGCTTCCTGGGGGCGAGTATCTGTTTGTTCAGTGGGTTTGCCTATGGATTTCATAAACAAGGATTTCCCCACCTTCCCATTTTCCTCCCCTGTTATTTTTTGGGTACCATGCTGGGCTTTAAAGACATAGGAAGCATCATTTATGGAGTGAAGCAGAAGCTGTCTTTGTAGTCTTCTGATTGTTTTTAACCATTGGCCCATGCTTTGTATTTAACCCTCAGATGCCTTGTTTGGCCAGCCTACAGGTTTTTTTTTAAAAAATGTATCTGACTTCATACGCCTTTAGACAAAACATGGCCTTTCCAGGTCACTTTGTGTCTGCTACATGTTGTTGCCGCTTCTCTCTCAAGTTTCCTGCCCAAGCCCTCTGAGGATTTGAATGTGCGGTGACCAGTCTACCCAGCCTTCTCTCTTTACAGATGAAGACACTGCGGCCCATCCGGGGCAAGCGGCAGGTCCCTGTTCTCAGAGCTTGGGCTGAGCAAGAATTAAAGCCACTATGTTCTGATTCACCATGTGGTGACCTTTTCTTCACCCTGCCAGGCAGAGGAGTGTCCTGGAGTAAGAGAGTGGAGAAGCCTCCAAATAGAAAGTGGGCACAGAAATGGACTGTGCATGAAGTGGACTGACTCCCCATGCCTCTTCTCTGCATGGCAGCACTCTCAGGGTGGGTGTTTGTTTTTTCCCAGGAAGCCCTGCCAAGCCCTTCACCGTTGGTCAATTTGTTTGGGGCTGTTAGGCCCAGGTAGGAGAATCCCATCACCTTCGTTGCACAGCAGAGGCCTCTGCAGGCTGGGGATTTCATGGGCTGCCTTCTTTCAGGTCTAGGTAGCCCTCAGACTTGGTGTCAGGGAAAGCATACCTCTTTCAGTCTTTATCAGACCAACCAGCTGCTTTTTACTGGGGATAAGCCACGAGCTTGTTTCAGGGTGGGGTCATTGCTCAGCTGATTTTGAGAGGAGAGAACCCTGGTTCTGTGAGGAGGGCTGAGACCTGATTGGAAGGGCCAAAGATTTCAGTACTAAGATGACATTTCCCCCCTCTTCCTTTTTTTTTTTTTTTGAGTCGGAGTCTTACTCCGTCGCCCAGACTGGAGTGCAGTGGCTGCTCCCAGCCACCGCAGCCTCACCTGCTGGGATCCGGCGATCCTTCCAACTCAGCCTTCTCAGTAGCTGGAATTACAGGCACGCGCTACCATGCTCGGCTGATTTTTTTTATTTATTGTAGAGATGAGGTCTCGCCAAGTTGCCCAGGCGGGTCTCAAACCCGCGGGCTCAGGCAATCCACTCACCTCAGCCTCCCAAAGCGCGGGATCAGTACAGACTGAGCCACTGAGCCCGGCTTCTAGAGTGTTTAAAATGATGCATTATTAATGATTTCTTATCTGTTCCTCCCAAGAGCTAAGAGTTAAATTTTAGAATCCAAGAGTGGGGACCCATGCTCTGGCTCCTGTCTCTTGGTTCCCTCATTGGCAGGGGCTCCCTTCTGCTGGACTCTGGATGGTGCCTCCCAAGTAGCAGAAGAGATATTAGTTAAATAATCACACTGATGACCAGATGAGATAAATGGCTAAGAACCCTGGAGAGGCTGGAGAGGACAACTTAACCCTCTCGTAAGCCAGGCTACACTTGGGGAAGCTTTGCTAAGCTAAGACAGAGCAGGTGACAGGGGTTCCCTGGGGTGGTGGTGAGTGAGGACAGGGATGAGGGGTGGTAGCTAAGGGAAGTGGGTGGAGAGTGTCCCAGGGTCTCGTGGTAGGAGGAAGGGTGCTTTCTGGATCATTGTGGGATGCCTGTGTGAGGGCACATAGGAAGGGTGTTTGTGGATTCTGGTAACTTGAAGAGTTTTGGCTGAAATGAAAAGCAGAAAAGCTGAGAATCTCATCCGGTCCCCTCATATTACAGGATTTGGACTCCCAGTCTTTAAACATTCACTCCTCACCTTAAAATCCTCTCCATTACCTGGTTAACATGGCTCAGGTGTTGGCTGCAGGTGTCATCACTCAGTGCCCCTGTGTACAGATCTCCCCCAGCTTTCACCTGTGACTCACGCCTTGGGCTGCAGAATCTAGCACTGGTGTGAGGATCCCGCCACATTGCCACAGCCACGCTGGGGGTGGGAAGGACTGCAGAGGCGCCAGAAGTGCCAGAGAACAAAGGATACCCCAAAACACCTGGCCAAAGTCATGCTCCTGTCTCTACCCAAGAATAACGTGTTCGTATCGTCCCACTTCTGTGCAGAAATACTGCCTAAGAATTCCACCCTCCCAGCCCCAATCTTGTTCTTAATTAAGTTTAAGAACAAAATGAGATGATAGTAAAACTATGAAGAAGGCAGCAGTGGGCAGAGGGACAGAAACACAGACTCTGGAGGTAGGCCTGGGAGTTGCATTTGTTGGTTGTGTGACTGTGGATGAGTTATTTAACTCTATTAAGGATCAGTTTCTTCTGCAAAAATTGGAATAATACCTGCTTCGTTCTAAGAATTAAATAGCACAACTCTTGCAACTTGAATCATTATTGCCAGGAGCCATGAAAAATAAAACCTATATGCAGAGGCCTAAAGAATCCGCAGGGAACCTAAGAGATACTGCTTCTACTCTGTCTCTTCTTTCTCTGGGTTATGGTGTCAGAGGAAATATTTTCTTAGCTTCAAACAACCAAATAAGATGTTGCAATAAGGAGATAGGAAATCTAATTTGGAACATAGTGTGCCAATCTCGTTTTCAGACAGATTTTGAACATAAAACTCAATTCTTTGTGTTAGAGGATTATCTACTTAATATTGTGATAGCATACCAGTTTTTTTTTAAGTCACATCAGAGGTTAAATACGATTGCCAGTTAATGGGGTCATATATGAACATTCTGATACGTACTTGTAGGGTGAGACAGAAGAGCCCATGCTCTTCCTGAATAGGGCACCTAGAGGAATCACCCTGGCCCAGGTGAAACTCACCTTTGGGTGGCAACTGGAGCCTCATGAGCAGAGGGGTGCTTGTGTCCTAATGAAGTAAGATAATATACCTGGAAACACTTGGTATACTGTGAAATGTTTTACAAACACAGGGCAGTACAAATGTCAATATAATGTATTTTAAAAATAGTTTTGGCTACTTTATTTCATCATATTTGTAATAATTTGTAGTGACTGTGAAGTTAAATAGAATTCACCTAGAGTTAACGAATGTTGTATTGCTCACGTCTGTTTGAAGCATCAGCCGTGCCTTTCTTGTGGCTCAGCACAGCCTTGTGTTAGTAACCACCTCTGTGCCTTTCTAATGGAGCATTCTGTCATGTCACAAGTAGTAGACATTTTTCCTCAGGACAGAGGCGGGGTCTTCCCATCACATCTTTCTTCAGTGAGATCCTCTTCTTCTGGAAGCTGGTTTCACATGGTGGCTTAGATTTTTCCATCTTTGTATCTAGCACCATTTGAAATCAGTGTTTTAGGAGTAAGAATTGCAGCGCAGCAAAGGGCGGACTGCAGAGACACTGTTGCTCATGGACTGACTCCTCTTCTCTTGCTGCTTGAGCCTGTTCAAGAGGGCGAGAGAAGAACTTGAAGAGCAAAATACACTCTTGAGTATGTTGGGCTTTTGGAGGGGTAACAGGGTGGGGAGGGCCTTGTGTTTAAAATGAACACAGTGACTTGAGCAGGGGCAGAGGGTGAGATGCTCTTTCTGTTGATTGCTTGCAACCGTCACCAGTGTGAACATGTTGTGTTGTTCCGTTGGGTAATGATGTATTGGGTATTGATTGTAACGGGGCAGGGGAGAGGGCTTTACACCTGGAGGACCGTTTCAACCACATCGACACTGTCCGCCTACTCCTAGAGATGCCCTGGAGTATTCGGCGTCGGTTGCAGGGCAGCTGAACTCAGACTTGCCACCTGCACTGTCGAGGTGCGGACCCTAGGAGCACCACTGGCCCATCTCTTACACAGGCTGACCGATTTCTCCTGGTGTTCAGAGTCTGTTTTTGTCTAGCACCATTTGAAATCGGTTATGATGTAGGGGGAAAAGCAGCAGCCTCGAAGCCTCATGCCAAGTCTGGGCAGCAACAGCCTGTGGTTTCCTGGAAGATGGATGGGCAGAGAGTGGGGAAGGAAGATCACACTTTTCCCTACTAACTTCTTTAACTGCATTTATGATACATTATTGCAGAGGTAAGAGATAATTTAATGGATTTTTAAAAAAACAGATTACTCGAATTTATCTGATGTCCTCAGTTGCATTTTGCTGAAATGTAGTACTGCTGTAAATTCTATAAATTGGTTGCTGTTGAATTATCTTTCTGTTGAGAAGAGTCTATTCATGCATCCTGACCTTAATAAATACTTTACTGTATTCAATTTATCATGTCTGTGTTTTTTCATCTGTTATTTTCCATTCATAATTCTATGACGATGAGAAGTGGGTCCTGAAAAATTAATTTGCTATATGCAGATTCTGCCTACTTCATAAAGAATTTGAAGTAGGTTACAGCAGACATTAAAAATGAAGCCCATTAAGACAAGAATGAAATTCTATGAGCCAAGAAATAAAATGAGAAAAGATTAGGGAAGAGAAGAAATGTTGAGGATCTAGGCTGAAGGATGCTCCTTATTGAACAAGGAAAGCTGCCCTCGATCCCTGTGGGCTGCAGACACAGCCCCTCTCCTAGCCGGAGTTCCTGTGAGGGACTTTGGCTCAATGGAACATATTATCTCATGGCTCTTGAAAGGGAGTAGCACTGATTTCTGTTGCATTATAGAAGATGAAGGAGTTCTGCTTTGGGCTGTTTATATCAACCATTGGAGACAAGGCAAGCCAGTTTTGCAAAGCTAGCCAGAGATGAGCCAGATTTGACTTAATAGTGGATCAAGCTTGGAGAGTCTTCAGGCAGGCAGGCTGTGGTCCCTCGGTCAGGCTTTTCCACAGGAGACGCATGGCTGTCAACCACCTACAGTACAGTTACTGCAAGCTGGTGGCTCTCGATAAATGATGACAAAGCAGCCACCTAGGAAGTCTCTTCTGGGTCCACCCCCCACCATTCTTCCCCCAGATGGCTGCCCTGCCCAGTGGGCTGGGGTGGGGGGGCGGAAGAAGCGCTTGCCGGGAAGACTTGCCAGTGCATGCGATGCACCCCCTCACTGCAGCTGCGGCGCTATTTCAGGCTGTTGGTGGAAGAATTTATGTTCTAATCCCCAGGACGTGGTGGTGGGAATAGTTAAGACCCTTAAATTGTTTTATTCGCTTTCCCACGGAGGTGGTCTACAGTAGTGCCCGCAGGTATGACGTCTTCGGGTTGGTGGTTCTAACTACGGATTAAACAGTTTTTTATTCATTTGCCATGTCCCAAGCTCCAGCCTCGGTATTGCAAATACAAATGAATGAGACATGGATTCTGCCCTCAGGTGGCCCTGGTTCCAGCCCTCAAATGAGTAAGTCCTAAATCAAGTTTAGCATCAAAGCACAAAAACAATGATTTGAGACATCTTTTCCATAAAAGAGGTTTATGGTACTCCCATTGAATGCTTAATCTTAAACAGTGCCACATTGCTAGGTCATGAGAAGCAAAATGACACCAGGGTACCTGTCAAATGGGATTGTTTTATTCATCTGGGTGCTGACAGCCCTTTACCTAAAATTGCTATTCTGGGTTGGTTTTTCATGATAAATTGGCAGTTACACAAAATGTTTCTTCTAGAGACGACGTCCTGAGTCAGGTTTATGAAGCCTTGTTATCAACCTGGGTAAAAAATGCCTTGTCAGACCAGAGTCCCGTTTACCTAAATTCTACCAGACTTTTTTTCAGCTGTACATTTATAAGCAGGTAGGGCTATTAGACTGAAGGCACAATCCAGCCTTGTGGAAGTTATACTGGTAAATAATGCTCACCTGTGGAAATAAATGGTGATGAGTCCTTAATACATATGAATGAGACAAGTTAAATCTTTGGTTAGTTTAGGTGAAACAAATAATTCTAGAACCGGATAATTCTTTTTGTAGAATATTGGCCCAGGCCTTCATTTTGAAAGGCTGGTATATAGTTTCAGGGGATTAACTAACAGACTGTCTCCACAAAATATGGAGATCTTAAGAGGTTTCCTTGAACACAAGAAAAAGTATATTTGGGGCTTATTCTAATGTGACAGTGTTCTATCCTATCTTCTTATTCCATTCACCCAATGAGTGGTTCTTGGTTCCCACCCCCACAAGCTCTGGTTTAGCCAGTCTAGGAATGGGCTTGGGCATCGCATTTTTGGTTTTTAAGTTTTCCAGGTAATTCCAATGTGCAGCCAGGGTTAAGAGCTATTTTTCTGTGGTCTTGTTTCTAAAAGGCTTTACTATTCAAAGTGTGGTCTGAGGGCTCCCAGTATTGGTATATTAGTTTCCTGTGGCTGCTCTAACAAATTACCACAAATGTGGTGTCTTAAAACAACACACATTTATTCTTACAGTTCTGGAGGTCAGAAGTCTGGACTGAATGAAGGTGTTGGCAGGGCTGCCCTCCCTTTGAGAAGTGCTAGGAGAGAACAGGTTTTCCTTGCTTTGTCCAGCTGTCTTAGCTGAATTATTTGGCTTGTACCCCTTCCTCTATCTTCCAAGCCAGCAGGGTTGCATTTTGCTTCAGTGGCCACATTGCCTTCTGTTGTGGTCAGATCTCTCTCTGCCTCCCTCTTAGAACCTAGACCCTTGTGATTACATTTAGCGCCCCACCTGGATAATTCCACATAATCTCCCCATTTCAAGATCCTTAACTTAATCTCATCTGCAGAGACCCTATTCCCATCTAAAGTAACATTCACAGGTTCCAGGTATTACGACTTGGATCCCTTTGGAGGCCACTGCCTATCACAAACAGCAATACTTGGGAACGAACTAGAAATGCAGACTCTCAGGCCCCACCTGATACCCTGTGAATCCGAATTTGTTTTTTAACAAGACCACCTGTGATTCACTTGCTCACTAAAATTAAAGAATCATGATGCTGTGGGATCCTACCCAAGGAGTTCTTTAACAAGTGAGTCCCACCTCAAATACAAATTTAAGGAGTGTTTTGCCCAGGAGCCCTTTCAAGTGATGGTGGGTAATGATAATTTTCCCAGACACCGAACATAAGTGACCATCTAAGAATTTGTAGCCCCCTGAATTCTTTCTCAGTGAAGCCACAAGCCCTAAACACCAGGATGCCAGAGCACAGGGTTTGCCACTGCAGCATACAATAATAGTTCCATGTTTTAAACTTAAGTGGCTTCTCCTACCTACTTCTATTCAGATTGTCTTGGGCTATTCACTATCAAGTCAGGAATCAGGATGGGTAGTTTTCATGTTATCTGTACTTGTAGCAATTTATTCCCCATCTGCTGGTAGAGAAACGAGAAGGAAGGAAAAATTGTTTATTGACCAGATCTCCAAAATTATTATACTTCCGCTTTTAACCAACAAATGATGGAGTTTAATTTAACCCTTTAAAAAGTGTAAACATCACAGAAGCAGCAGAAGAAAGCTAGTTTAATACCAGCTCCAAAATGAAATTAAAAATGACTTCTGGGAATCACAGCAATGACAAACCTCTGAAAAATGGCAGTGAACTGGTAAGGAAGGGACTGTCAAGTTCCCCCACAGTCCACAGGAGGGCAGCAGTGCTCTGGTTTACAGAGGACTACACCTCATATTTGTGTAAACTTTTCTGGTTGAGCCTAGAAATTCTGATGAAAGCAATACAGTTTAGGGGAAAAAAATACATATGTACACTCAATTTTTCATTTCTGAAAACTATTAGGTTATGTTAAATCTTCCTTTGGGTACACGTATGCAAACTTTAAAAATATGTGGACAAGGTCATTCTTGGTTAAAATATTAGCTGAGAGGCATTACTAAGTTTTAGAGTACAGAATTGCCTATTTCCTTTAGACCCTGAAATCTACTTTGACAATGCAAATTCATATTCCTCCCAATCACAGGTCTCTTCAGCATTTTTGCAGGCTTTTATCGATACCTTACAAGGTGACTAACTCTCCCTGTATATTTTATGCCAACTTTAAAAATACACTATAGTCTCAGTCACATAAAAATTTCTAAAATACTTTATTCATAGTCAATATAATTTTTTACCCAGTTTTAATATTAATAGAAAGATTGCCTCTGCATTTTTGTTTTTTTTCCCCCATATTATTATTTTTAAAATTTTTATTGTAAAGACGTGGGATACAATTCAGGGTTAGGTATATAAACATTGATCATGCAGGTACCCTTGTTGATGAGGTATGCCCCTCCCTCCCTTATCAGTTTCCCTCAACTGCCAATCCCACCCCACCACACCCGACAGTTTCCCACTACTGCCAATCGCTTTCTTATAGCATTATAATTGTTCAAGGTCCTCTTATGGTGAGAACATATGGAACTCTGTTCTTTGTTTCTGTGATAAATCACTGAGTATGATCGACTCCAAATCCATCCAGGTTGCTGCCAAGTCCATATATTTGTCCTTTATGCCTGCATAATATTCCATGGTGTATATGTACCACATTTTTAAAATTCAGTCCAGCTTCGATGGGCAACATAATTGGTTCCATGTTTTTGCTATTGTGACTAGAGCTGCAACAAACATGTGTGCTGCCTCTGTATTTTGAACCACAAATAGAATTACAGTTAGTCAGGTGATAAGTCTTTAATTCAAGTCTTGGAAATTTTTTGATTTCTTTAATAGGCTGAGTTCATAAAGCCACAATTTCCTTTTGTAAATACAAGCCTTTACCCTCTGTAAGTACATATGGAGAAATGGACTTTGGGACTTAAGATTTACTAATGCATAGGTTGTCGGCCTTAGCTGCACACTGGAATCAATATGGGACACTTGAAAAAATCTTTATACCCAAGCCAAGATCAGTTACACCAGAAAGCTCTAGAGCTGAGACCCAGGTGTCAGTAACTCTCCCCAGGTGATTCCAGTGTGCAGCCATGGTTGAGAAACATTGAAGCCTGATCTGAAGATTTAGCAGCCTGATTTAATTCAAATCTGCAAAGAGAGCAAGAATGATTTTTTTGCATAAACAAAACCAAATCTTATTAGTTCCACAAATCAAATTTTATACTTTAATTGTTGGAACTTGAGTTTTTATTTAGCCCTATGTATGCATTAAAGGGATGCAGAAGCTATCTTCTAGACACACATATACAGAGGCTTAAATGTGGCTAAGCCAAAGTTAGGTAATAATAGAGACTGAGAGCTGGATGGAAATCAAGCAGAGCTTCGTGGAATGGCTAGAACTTGAGCTGGGCCTTGGAAGATGCATAGGATCTGTACAGGACAACACGTGTTTCAAACAATAGTGAGCAAGGAATACTGCAAAAAGCACAGGACAAATGGTCAGAATAGGTTATTTAAAGAAGTAGAATAGAAAGAAAAGCCTGGGCGAGAAGGTTGGGACTTAATTGTAGGAGGTCTTCAAGTATCAGGCTAAGAAATTTGGACTTCACCCTGTAGGTAACGTGGTTTTGCAGAACACCTCTGAGCATATCTGTGTGATGGGTTGAGAGCGAGATGCCCGGGACACTTAAAAGCCTGGGCTGTGAAGGACAGGAGTGATGGCTGTGGGAGTGGAATGGTTGGAAGATGGGCCCCAGTTGGAGACATTCTGTGATTTGAGATAAAACATACTGGAAATAAACACATCATCACAAAGCTTCTCCAAATGTACAATTTTATTTTAACAGATTTGAAGAGCCAATTTTCAAAAAATGAACCATTCTTTCCTCTATACATGAGACTTTGCATTTTACTGTGAATACATTTGTGTAGTTAAAACTTTTTTTAAAATTCAAATATGCTTCTTTCCCCATCATTTAAACAAACTTCTAGAGAAAACGTGTCTCTCCATATATTTAAGTGATAAATTATTTGACAAAATATACATATTTATTTTGGGAGGACCCCCAAAAACCCAGAATTTATTAAAAATGGTGTATTTATTCTTACAAGTTTTAACTTCAGTCACCTTCAAAGTATCCTCTGATGCAATACACCTATGAAGACGCTTGTTCCAACTGCTCGAAACAGTTTTGAACTCATCAATTTTGATGCCTTTTATTCCTTTTGCCTTTTTTTGTTTCACCTCTTCCACATTGGCAAAACGTTTCCCTTTGAGGACTGTTTTCATATGGGGGAAACAAAAGTTGCTCAGGGTGAGATTGGCCATTTTTGGTCAAAAACTGCTGAACACTTAGTGTGGTGTAAGGCAGGTGTGCTTGTAAATCACTCATCATGAAATGGGTAAATGCCTTGAAAGAATCTCCAAAAAAGAAAAAAAAAAATTCAGATCACAGTGGAATAAAAATAAATACCACCAAAAAAACCCCCAAAACATTGGTGCCGAATGCAGCCTCTCACAACACTAGCTGGCACACTGATGCTGATGGGTTCCTAGAACATTTATCTAGTGGGGGAAGCCTGTACTACAAGAGGTCTGCCCTCCAAAAAGATAATTCTGGGTTTTTTGGGGTCCCCCCTGTACATAAATCACAAATATAAATATTAAATTGAAAAAATTCTATTTTAAGCAGAGACTTTTTTATTAAAGTGTCTTTATTTCAAGCATAAAAGTATTTGGTTGACAACACTTCAACTAGGTTAAGGAAAAATAAGAAACTGTATAGCCCTTCCTTCTAATCAGTTGCTACATTCGTGAAAAGCATATGAAAGTGGGTATAAACTTCAGCTTTACCTTAACTCAGCATTCCTGCTTATTTCTCAAGCTTTTATCTTCCTAAAACATGTCACCAGAGATTACAAAGGAAAAGAACAGTGCCCTGTAAACATGTCTTTATACAGTAAAACAATATTCGGATCCACTCCTGATTCCTCAGTCATATCCTTTGCAAGGCAACATTTCTTTGACCCAACTTGTGCTACTAAATATACAAGTAAACATAACTTGTAAAAATGTAACTTGAGTTGGAGTGGCAATCCCTGCTCTTGGCCCACTGGCTTCTTTGAACAAGACACTGGCTAGGGGACACAGCAGGTCCTGTTCTACCTGAGCATCAAGTGCTACCTGAGCTATGTGTATTTTTTAATCCATTAGTATGACCAACAGCAAATAAACAGTGGAGTTTCCTTCTCCGAGATACATGGCTTTTTACTCTGCCTTTTAGGAGGTGAGGTAAGATGAATACCTAAGACAGTGTAAATGGCCGAAGATTCTGACAGTTTGAGGTTATCTGATGAATTTATTCTCTACAAAATGACCTACTTTAAGATGACATGTTTAAAGTAAAATGTCCCTTTATTTAAGTAAGGAAAGAAAACCATCTAAAACCAGAATGTAGATTGAGTTACTCAGCATATGCAATTCTCTTTAGGAAAAACCACGAGGCCACAGAGTTCACTTTGCACCAGGATCCAGCATTCTTGTTAAGGCTGTCAGAGTCTTCTAACTTTACAGAAGTATGCAACTGATTCTGGAACTTTACTGATTTATTAGATTGATTATTGATATTTTGGAAAAAGGTGAAAACAAATGCTCCACATGAACTTTCTAGCTTATTTAAATTACCAAAGATGTTACAAAAGAATACAGGCAACCGTGGCTTACGCCTGTAATCCTAGCATTTTGGGAGGCTGAGGCAAGAGGACTGCTTGAGCCCAGAAGTTCGAGGCCAGCCTTGGCATCATAGTGAGACCTTGTCTCTACAAAAAATAAAAGAAAATTAGCCAGGCGTGATGGCATGCACCTGTAGTCCCAGCTACTTGGAAGGCTGAGGCAAAAGGACTGTCTAAGTCCAAGGCTGATACAGAAGGATTACTTAAGTCCAGGAGGTCAAGGTTGTAGTGAGCCATGATCCTGCCACTGCCTTCCAGCCTGGGTAACAAGAATGAGACCCTGACTCAATAAAAATAAAAATAAAAATAGAATATATGGAGTGGAACCCTACTAACTTTTACAGAATTCTTCTATAATATTCTTAGTTAAAGGAGTCAAACTAAGGGTGTCCATATTCTTAATTTTCAGTATTCTTATTTTAATGAATAAGAGCCAAAGTAGGTAGTATATACATATTTGTAAAGATATATAAAATATATTTTGTAATTGTTGAAAGAATGAATCTTAAGAGTTTGCATTAATCTTTGAACAAAAAAGTTTTCAAAATCTTTACAAATGAAACAATTTCCTTTTGAACTATATTTCTCTAAATGTGCCAATTTTATAAAATAAGCACTTTCACACCTTAATACTACCGGGGATGCTGTGTTGACTTGCGCTAGAAATGCAAGTGTTATTTAAGGGGAAACAGGCAATATATTCATACCCTAATTCATACACATTTCAAAGAAGCATCTGAAGATAATGACCATATCCAAGCCACATTGAAGTGTTAGGATTATGCGTAACAGTTGCCTTCATGAGAATGAAGCTAGAAGTAACTACCATAGATCTGTAGATCGTAACAGAATCAGAAGATAAACTGTTTAACCAGGTTGTAGAAACCATTCAAATTGTTTGCTCTGCTGGAGTGGCTGATTTACTCTGGCAAGCGGTGTATTCAGCTCTAACCTCAGCTTTCCTATGAGGCAAGATATAAGGATAGCATCAAAGATAAACATAATTAAGTACAGAAATTAAGTTCTAGAATCCCATTTAGAAAATGGACAACTAAAAACAAACTTTACAGACTGAGTCCCCAAACTAGGAAATAAATTATTTGAGTTCTTAAAATAATATCAAACAACTAGTCTTACTCTAAAAACCCTTCTATTCCTGCCTTACATTTTCAATCCCCTCCAAGAAATAGAGCAATAGTATCCAAAGTTCTTGGTAAATGTTTTGATTCAGGGCCAATGGGAAAGACTAAAAAGAAACATATGTTTTCCTAATATCATAGTTTCAAAGCTATGGCTCTGAGACAAAACCTTTCACAAAAAGCAAATGGTTTAACATCCAACTACAGTAATGCTTCATCTTCTCACTGTCAAGGAAATCATGTATTCCATTAAGAGAGTATGCTAAATCACTAAGGTTTACATCGCACTTTTACTGTAACAGCAGGTATTTTTGCAAAATCTATTATTCTGTACTGTCCAAAGAAATATGATGCCAGTCACACATGTAATTTACAATTTTTCTAGAAACCACAGAAACTGCCAGGGGAGGGAGCAGGGGAGCACATTTCATCAATAAGTGTACCTGATCTCAAACCAGGTGACGTGGGGACCAAAGTGAAGTCCAAACTTTACCTGTACAATGACCATTTGTATATCTAACCCTGAATTGTACCCCACATCTTTAAAATAAAAAATAAAAAAGTAAATAGGCAAAATTAATTTTAATATTGCTTAGCCCAATATAGCCACAATATTATTATTTTGACATGTGTTTTACATTTGTGTGTTTGTGCTAAGTCTTTGAAATCCAGTGTGTATTTTACACTTATAGCACATCCTCACTGGACTAGCTGCTTGTGAATTCCTTGGTAAGCACACATGGCTGTTGACTACTGAACTGGCCAGTGCAGCTCTAGGCCCTGCCTCAGTAAATTGATGTGGATAGATAAATTATAAACTTAAAACTAAATATGGATCAGTCAGTTATTTACCAGTACGTGTGCCACAGCAAAAACTTCAGGGATGCCTACCCAAAGTAACAGTGACCATTTTACTTTTGGATATTTTACTATGCCTCTTTGTGAGGGAGGCCATTGTAATTACAATTATTACTGCAATATTATAAGCAATGCAGTTCCTTAAGGATGGTTTTGATGACTAACTTAATAGTTTGGCCTGTCACTGAATTCTCTAAGACTGCTATATTTTTCTGAGTACTTTTTTTTCCTGTAGTAGTAGAAACTTTTAAAGTTTTAAATAGAAATCCAATATATGAAAAATAAAAGTATTACCATAAATTGAAAAAACATTTATTTGATATGACAATGAAGCTATTTTGAAGATAGTAAAAATTTGAATCTGAATTACTAATTATGTTATTATTAACTTCAGCATTCATTAAATTATCTTCAAATATTTACAGCTGCCCTGCACTCAGAGAGAGTCTGAAAGTGACGATCCAAGTTGGCTTGAGCCTCAAAAGTGTCCAAGAGACTAAGAAGATACAATAGTCCTCCCTTATCCACAATTTTGCTTTCTGTGGTTTCAGTTACCGAGTCAATGCCAGTCTACAAATATTAAATGGGAGATTACAGAAATAAACAATTCATAAGCTTGAGATTGCATGCCATCCTGCTCCATTCCTCCAAGGACATAGTCATCCCTTTGTCCAGCATGTCCGCATTATAGACATTACCTGCCTGTTAGTCACTTAGTAGCTGTCTTGGTTATCAGATCGACAGTCACAGTTTCAAAGTGCCTGTGGTCCAGTAACCCTTACTTTACTTAATTATGGTCCAAGAGCACAAAAGTAGTGGTGATGGCACATTGTTAAAATTGCTCAATATTATTATTAGTTTTTGCTGTTAATTTCTTACTGTGTCTAATTAATAACCTTTACCATAGGTATGTATATATGTGAAAAAAACAGTATATATAAGGTTTGGTGCTATCCACGGTTTCAGCCATCCACTAGAGATCTTGGAATGTATTCCCCCGTGGATAGGGGAGAACTGCTGTATAGGGGACTGGGTAGGCCCAGACCCCCAATCCTAGTTGGTATCTTTTGTCTTTCCCTTTGCCCCTGTGATCAAAGACACCACTTTGCTTTTACTAAGAATCTGTTCTTCCAATTGGACTTTGTAGATCCTGCTCCCAAGCTCTTGTTTATGACCTAGGGTAGGGCCTCACATGATAATAGGTGGGATACATATCTCTGTCTCTTCCCAGCTATGCAGACACACATTCTGGCCCAAATAGAGCAACAATTCTAACTCATTTCAATTCAAAGACAATAGGTGAATGCAGTCAAAGGGTTTAAGATAATGCAATCCGTATTTTTTCAAAATCTGAGAACTTTTTGGTTTTTCTTTAGTATGCTAAAAATATTTCAGTCCAGGGAAACAGATAACAACATGCCTCTACAGATTTATTTATAAGTTGGAATTAAATAAATTTACAACATTAAGTAAAATATATTTTGGTTTCTTGAGAAAAGGACATTTTCCTCCCAGCAGTTAAAATGAATTGACTTTGTGATTATTTCCCACTGGGCTCACAAATTCCCTTACTTTTGGATTCATAGCTGAGCTGTTTTACAAGGTAGGGGAAGCTAGATAGTCTGATAAAAGGACGAGGGGAACACAACTCTATTTAAAGCCTATGTCAAAGCAAAAGTCTGTCAGTACATTATGTTAAATTTTAAAAAGGAATGATATAAGAAAACATCAATAATTTAGCAAAGGGAACAGGAATCTAAGTTTCCTCTTTGATGTTTACTACCAACATATCTTAGCTCAGGTTATTGATATCTAAATATCCACTGAATCATTTTCAAAAGAAGGAACAACTCTGAAAAGAAACAACAGAAAGAAGATACCTTTTAATGATAAAAGTAAACCTTTCTCTCATCTCTTCTTCTCAGAGAGAAGTAAATTTTACTTCTCTGTGGCTCTCATCAGTTAGGTATGTGCTGAACAGAGGAAGGGAAAAGGACTGAATAAAATAGTGACATCAAACCAAAAAGAAACAAGAGTAGCATAATAAGTGAGATAAAATCCATGATGGAAGAAAATGGAAGGAAAGCTGAGAATTAAGTTCATAAATTAAGACTTTATAATTCTCACTGAAGTTCTAGAAACATGAATTTTGTGTAAAAAGCTACTTGAACTTTGAAGTCTTACAGATCATCCAGCAGATGAACGGAAGGGAAACTTCTGTTCAATATGTTTACCTTTAAAATCATTTTGCGTGAAGTTAATAATGTAAAAATTATTTCAAATAATAACAACGTGTAAGGAAAAATGGTTGTGGTCTCTGGCACCCTCAATTTTGAGTATATATGAAATCCATGTAATATTGTCTTAGAGATCAATTTTACACAAGTCATACACTTTCAGATGTGTCTGGACTTTTTAATTGATTAGTTTCTTATTCCTGAGGCCCATTTGTTTTCAACCTTCTACAAGGATCTTAGGGAAGATCCTTCCCTAAGGAATCTGTGTTTACACAAGTCATACACTTTCAGATGTGTCTGGACTTTTCAATTGAGTAGTTTATTATTCCTGAAGTAGTTTATTATTCCTAAGCTTAAAAATTACAAAGTAATTGGATCAGACAATTTTTTTTTTTTGAGTTGGAGTCTCAATCTGTCGCCCAGACTGAAGTGCGGTGGCCGCTCCCGGCCACCGCAGCCTCGACCTGCTGGGGTCCGGCGATCCTTCCGCCTCAGCCTTCCGAGTAGCCAGAATTACAGGTGTGCACTACCACGCCCGGCTGATTTTTTGATTTATTGTAGAGATGAGGTCTCGCTGCCCAGGTGGGTCTCGAACCCGTGGGCTCAGGCAATCCACTCACCTCAGCCTCCCAAAGGCGCGGGATTACAGGCTGAGCCACTGAGCCCGGCTTAGACAATGTTAATATAACATTAAAAGGAGGTTTAAAAGTTATACCAAATAATAAATATTCTTTATGAATAAAAACCATTCTGTCACAGGTAATTATATAAATTAGGCAAATAATTTTCACTAACTTAGCCAACTGTTACCTATCCAGGGATAATTTAACGAATAAAAAAAAATCATGCATATGTGAAAAAAATCACTACAAGTAATAAAAATATTTATGTAAACAAAAAGCATCTGTCATTCAGAACCACATTCATGACATTCAATATGGGACTCAAGCAGTAGCAAAGACAGGATGAGGGCTGTGGCTTCCAAGACTAGAAAGTTTGGTAGAAGAATTAGTTATGGGAGAAAACTGGAAGGGAAAAGGAAGGAGCATGTAGACAGGGCCTGTTTCAGAACAACTGGGATTCTATTCTAAGCTGAGGGCTATGGAACAAAACTGTAGCAGAATACTTTAACCTTTTGGCCATTTTTCATCAAGTAATTTAAATGATGCTGGATGATCTTAAAATGACTACTTAAACTATTTTTGTACTTTCAGATGAAGGTTGCAGAAGGGTAATTATGTTCCCAAATCATCATAAATACCAGTTTACATCAAATTCTTGCTGACCAAGCTTTAACAGCAATTTGGGATTATCTGTGCTTGTTACCCTGCTTCCAGAGTTACTCCAAGAAATGGAGAAGTAACTCCATACATTTTATGGTCTTGTTAAGAAGTGTCTAGGCCAGGCGTGGTGGCTCACTCTTGTAATCTCAACACTTTGAGAGGCTGAGACAAGAGTATTGCCTGAGTCTGGGAGTTTGAGACCAGCCTGGGCAACAGGGGAGACCTCATCTCTACAATAAATTTAAAAAATTAGCTGGGTGTGGTGGTGCCTGCCGGTAGTTCCAGCTACTTGGAAGGGCGAGGTGGAAGGATTGCCTGAGCCCAGCAGGTCGAGGCTGTGGTGACCATGAGCGTGCCACTGCACTCCAGCCTGTGTGACAGACTCCAACTTAAAAAAAAAGAAAAAGAAAAAAAAGAAGTGTCTAAGGCCACAACAGCCAATCTGAGGGTAAAGATGATGGAAATGGAAATTTTTTTTTAAAACAAAATAAAGCCAAGAACTATTTATTACCCTATTCCCCTTTTAAAAGGATACACATGTTATATTAAACATCAGAAAAAATTACCAGTAAGCTTGATGGTGTTTCTTTCAATTTCAACAATATGGGCACATCAGTAATAGTCTACATGCTGGTTACCCTAAGTGCAGACCAAGCTCTCCCCCGCAACATCATTTGGGAGCTTGCTAGAGATGCAGGATCTCAGACTCCACCCCCAACTTAATGAATCAGAATCTGGATTTTAACAGATCTCCAGATAATTTATGTATGCTTTAAAGAACAAAGATGCACCACCTTCACATTAGAGTCCATTGAGCTAATAGGATAATACAGAACTTGAAGAGTTAGGGCTTCAGTATCTTGAAGCCAAATAAACCACAGAGAGAACCTAACTCTTGATTCAGTCATTACATGTTATACTGAATTTCTAATCAAGTATGTTTCTGTCATAAAAAGGGTAACATATATTCTAAAGATTCCTATATAATTTTTATTTTAGTTCAAAGGCCATTATGAATTACTTCTCCCACACCATTTTCTTGAACTATTTTATCTCAAGTTGTGCTACTGAATACAGAATTAATTATGTTGCATTGGTTAAAGATATAATAGTTTCCCAAAATATTTTAAAATTTTAATATGGTAATTTTCCATTGGACGCTAATATGGGCTTTTAAAAAATCACCAGGCCAGGCACAGTGGCTCATCCTGTAATATCAGTGCTTTGGGAGGCCAAGGCGGGAGGACTGCTTGAGTTCAGGAGTTTGAGACGATCCTAAGAAATATAGTGTGACCTCATCTCTACAAAAAGTAAAAAAATTAATATAAAAGGAGGATCTATAATACAACTATGAGCACCAAAGGACTGAAAATTATTAGATTTGATTTCAAAATTATTTCTGAAGCTACAGGGAAACAGTTTTTAAAATAAATAAAAATGCAATAAAAATTATCTTTCAGAAATTTCAAAGCACCTAGTCTTGGTCTATACTCCAAGATGCATTCTAAATCTTTTGTTAAATTGTAAACTCTTTCACTAAAATTTAAGTTTGATGTTTGAAAACCCTATTTTCCTTAGAAGACAAATATTTGTACATTTTATCTGTTATAAGCCCCTTTCTTTTCTTTCTTTTTTTTTTTTGAGTTGGAGTCTCACTCTGTCACCCAGACTGGAGTGCAGTGGCCGCTCCTGGCCACCGCAGCCTCGACCTGCTGGGCTCCGGTGATCCTTCCGCCTCAGCCTTCCAAGTAGCTGGAATTACAGGCATGCGCTACCACGCCCGGCTGATTTTTTTATTTATTGTAGAGATGAGGTCTCGCTGCCCAGGCGGGTCTCGAACCCGTAGCCTCAGGCAATCCACTCACCTCAGCCTCCCAAAGGCGCGGGATTACAGGCTGAGCCACCGAGCCTGGCTTCTTTTCATTTTTATGGATTAAAAGACATACAAAAGTTCATTGAAGTGCCTTGTAAATGTTACCCCTCTCAGCAACTGTAAGTTTTAACTCCATCTGTCTTACTGCAATTTATTAAATTAAGAAAACATAAAAGGGAAATAAAATAGTGTTTTTAATTCCCAGTTTAACATGTATAAGTAACAAGTTTAAATGAAAAGAAATCAAATTGGGTATCTGAATGAGACATATACATAGCTTCTTACAACTAGCTAAGTTATATCGGCAAATGGAAACTTTCATCACAAAAATTCTAGTGAATTTACCTGACAAAGTCTCCACATGGAGATACTTTAATTTTGGCCACTAGTTCAATTTAGGATAGGATATACTTAGGGTAGGGAAGGCCTCATAGTGGTTCATGATTTGCTAAAGAACTTAAACTTCAAATCCCACAGAAATTCTCTTTCTTAGTTAAGCAACTCTGCAGAGATTCTTCATGTTGCAATGATGTTAAAAGCAGCTGAAAATATTATTAGCAAAGAAATGCAATTTGTAGGACACCAATGCAGGTACATTTTTTTAAAAGATGGCATGCAACAGAGTACAAACATAAGCTGCACAAAAGTATGTCACGATTAAGAAGGAACAATCAGTTAGAAGAAAAAAGATTTAATTTACCCTTTCTTCCTGCTTTGAAGACATTTGTACAGGCCAACACAAATTACTGCAACTCCAACAACTGCAAGAAGCCAGGAAACAAATGGTATATAATTCTGAAAAACTAATTACCACGATTCAAAATCTAGCAGAAGAAATCCATGTCAGTTACATTTCAGTGGTCAAAAAAAATGTTATTTTATCTAAGCACCTATACATTTATATTCCATCTAGACTCTTTGTATCTAAATTCAATTCTCTGGAAACACACAGTCCACAGTACATCAGAGAAAAGTCCTTGCATAATTTAGAAAATTATCAAAAGCACATTTGGAAAGTAAACTCATGTTGCTAATCATCTTAAGGAAATATTAGGCTTTGTCACTAAGAGGATATATAGCATATAAAAGAATACAATATAAAATCACTGGTACAAGGTAGTAATAAGCACATCATATAAAAAATCAGGTTTTTCTAAACTGGTAAAGTTAATCTCAAGCTATAAAAACTAGAGAAACTAAAAGACTATTTAAAAAAATTATTCTTCACAGTAATATTTTGATTTAAGTGGTGTCAAAATTTGGTATACTTACTTACAACAATAACAATCAGAGCAATGACCCAGTCATCTGAGAAAAAATAAAAACAGTTTGAGGATGTTAAACACATATGGGTCTCTAGATAGCAGTTGCATTTTTATTCCAATGAGATCATCTCAATACTACATAAAAAATAGTATTTATCTCATTTTAGCATGATTGCTAGTGTATCCAGGTCATTTTGATCACAGAACCCTTCTAACCAGTTCCAGGTTAAGGTTCCAATTTGTGAGATGCTTAATAGGAACCTTATTCTTCATTGTTTTGCTCTGTAGCTGCCACATCAGGTTATTTAGTAAAGATTGTTAGAACTATTAGAATTCATTAGATTAGGGAAAATTATTTTTTAAATGTATTATCCCATTATAGTTGACTTAATTCAGTATTCGTTCTAGCATTTCTTCTTTTTAAAATATATATATTTTTCCCAAAAGTGGATCTGTAGAATAAGTCATAATAAATTTCTTCTAATCTGTCACACAGATGGTATTTGCAGAGTCTTGACAAATAATACTTTATCCTATCAATCTCCTTCCTACCTTCTCCCTTACCTCCCCACTTCACCCACCTCAAAATACTAAGACATAGTACTAAACACCAAGAAGATTCCCTCTAAAAATATAAACGAAACACCAGGGCACACATAAAAATTATGCAGAGAAACTTGAACGTGCATTTTTGGTTATCTGGAGTGCACTAAATAATTCTACAAAATCTTAATATTTAGAAGTCTGTCAGTAGTACCTCTGCTTCTAGATTGCTATTTTTTTTATTAAATTGTGACAAGTCAAAGCATAAAGCATCTTGTTTAGCTCTGCTCTTATTTCATAAACAGTTGTCACATGTTTAAGAGCTTAAGATGGCACTGAATTTACTAGCACAATAACATTTTGATTGGAGTTTGAAGCTAAGGCATACACTAAAAAATAAGCCTAAGGTGCACTGTATAAAAAGATGAACCAAGCTGGGCTCGGTGGCTCAGCCTGTAATCCCGCGCCTTTGGGAGGCTGAAGTGAGTGGATTGCCTGAGCCCGCGGGTTCAAGACCCGCCTGGGCAGCGAGACCTCATCTCTACAATAAATCAAAAAATCAGCCGGGCATGGTAGCGCATGCCTGTAATTCTGGCTACTTGGAATGCTGAGGCGGAAGGATCGCCAGAGCCTGGCAGGTCGAGGCTGCGGTGGCTGGGAGCGGCCACTGCACTCCAGTCTGGGTGACAGAGTGAGACTCCAACTCAAAAAAAAAAAAAAAAAAAGGTAAACCATTACTAAATTACTGTAAGAAATGAAAAGTAATAGGTGTTTGGCTTCTTTTACTTATCAAGAAAACTTACATTTCATTGGACTTTAACTGTAACAATATACTACACCATTTTCTTTAATATATATTGTGTGAACTGTTTGAGCCTACATAAGGTATGTTAAACCAGCTTGCTATTAAAAAAAAAAAAAAGAACCCAAATTAGATTATTTTAAGGCTCATGTATATAAGGTATGAATAGAAAGATAATTTATTTACAGATTGCCATTATAAAATAACACTATTATGTGGAAAGAAAGTTGTTTTTTATATATTTTAACCTACATATAATCATAGCATTTAAGAAAGTTACCTCACCCTATTAGGAATTCTATGTTGGGCACATCCTAAAAACGGCAATTACCTACATGTTTCTATACATACTGCCACTTGTATTTGTCGTGATATCTATACTAACCCAAATTGTTAATATTAAATAGTTCTTCATCGGGATTGGGATATCCTAGAAAAAAGAAGAAACACGAATTAAGTAAAAGAGAAAGGAAAAGAAAAGAAAAAAATAAAGCTTAAAATCCTTTAAATTCATAGGGTGATTTTTTTCACCTTTGTACAAAATTCCTTAACGTTTCATTTTCTTTATAAACCATATTAATGTTTCTCATTTAAATTTAGTTATCATAAAAATTTATATTCAGTGTCATCATCTTCTTGCTGCCCACTAACATTTCCTATGGCAATATTCTGCAAATTTATCTTTACTATATTTTCAAAATTAGTCTATGAAGTCAATGTGATTCTAACTGAAATTTAAAAATTGAGGAGGGCTTCATAAATGCTCTGGAAGTTGACTAGAATGGAAGAAATTTCCTCAACAAAATAAAGACCATATATTTAAAAACCTATAGCTGACTCATACTCAATGGTAAATGATTGAAAGCTTTTCCCCTAAGATCAGGAACAAGACAGAGTGTCCACTTTTATTCAAATAGTATTGGAAGATCTAACCAGAGAAATTAGGTAAGAAAAAAGAATCCATATTAGAAAGGAAGAAATTAAATTACCTCTGCAGATGACATGATCTTTTATGTTAAAAACCCTAAGGATTCTACATTTATAGACACATGCAAACATTTGTTAAAATTAATAAATGAATTCAGCAAAGTTGCAGGATACAAAGTCAACATTCAAAAATCAGCTGTATTTCTATATACTAACAATGAATAATCTGAAAAGGAAATTAAGAAAACAACTTTATTTGCAGCAGCATCAAAGGAATAAAATGATTAGAAATAAAATTAACTAAGAAAGTGAAAGACTTGTACCTGAAAACTAAAAGGCACTGATGAAAAAAATTAAAGATATAATTAATGGAAAGATGCTCTGTGTTCATGGGTTTGACAGATTTAATATATTTTTAAACTGTCAATACTATACAAAGCAAACTACAGACTTGATGCAACCCCTATCAAAATTCTGACTTTTTTGCAGAAATAGCAAAATCCATTCCAAAATTCGTATGAGATCTCAAGGGACCTCAAATAGCCAAAACAATCCTGGAAACAAAGAGCAAAGTTGAGAAGAGTCACACTTTCTGATTTTAAAACTTACTACAAAGCTACAGTAATTAAAACAGAATGAAACTGGCATACAGATAGACATGCAAAACAATGAATAGAATAGAAAGCCCAGAAATAAATCCTTGCTCATGTGGTTAAATAATTTTTAACAAGAGTGCCAAAAACAGTTAATGGGAGAGGAGAGTCTCTTCAACAAATGGACTGGTAAAACTGGATATCTACATGCAAAAGACCTTTACCATATTCAAAAATTAATTCAAAATGAATCAAAGACTTAAACATAAGAGCTAAAACTATACAACTCTTAGAAGAAAACATAAAGGAAATGCTGTATGATGCTAGATCTGGCAGTGGCTTCTTGGATATGACACCAAAAGCACAGGCAACACAAGAAATAACAGATAATTGAATTTCATAAAAGTTTAAAACTTTTGTACATCAAAGGATGCTATCAATAAAGTGAAAAGGCAATCCAGAAATATTTGATGCAAATATTTCTTCTCATTTCATATATTCGATGAGGGATTAATCTCCAGAATAATGACAAACTGCTAAAACTCAGTAACAAATATCAACCCAAGTTGAAAATGGGCAAAGGACTTGAATAGATAATCCTCCAAGGAAGATATATAAATGACCACATGAAAACACATGCTGCCCAACCATCACTAATCATTAGGGAAATGCAAATAAAAACCACAATGATATACCACTTCATATCTACTAGGATGATCTATGGTGTGAATGTCTGTTCCCTCTAAAACTCATGGTGAAATGTAATTGTCAAAGTAATGTTATTGGGAGATGGGATCTTTAAGAGGTGTTTAGATCAAGAATATCTTAAATTAGTTATGAATGGACTAATTGCAGGAGTATATTTGTTATCCAGGAAGTGATTTTTGTGCTCTCATCCTCTCTTTGCCTTTCTACCATGTGATGGCTTCCACTGTGTTAATGACAGAGCAAGTAGGCCCTCACCAGATGCCCACACCCTGATATTAGATTTATCACCCTCCAAAATGTTGAGAAATAAATTTCTGTCCAATATAATTTACCCAGTCTGTGGTATTCTGTTTAAGCAATACAAAATAGTCTAAGACAGGTACCTGTTATTTAAAAAGAATATAACAAGTGATGGTGGAGATGTGGAAAAAATGGGAACATTTACGTACTGCTGGTGGGTATGTAAAATGGTGCAGCCACTATGGAAGACAGTATGGCAGTTCGTCAAGGAAACAAAAATAGAATTCCCCTATGATCCAACAATTCTACTCCTAGGTATATACCTAGCAACTGAATACAGGGACTCAAACAGATGTGTATACTCAAGCTCATAACAACAGCATTATTCAGAGTAGCCAAAAGGTGAAAACAAACCAACCTAAGTATCTACCAACAGATAAATGAATAAACAAAATATAGTATATACATATAATGGAATAGCATTCAGCCATAAAAAGGAATAAAGTTTTGATACAATATGAACCTTAAAAACATTATGCTACATGAAATAAGCCAGACATCAAAGGACAAACATTGTATGATTCCACTTTTATGAAATCATACCTAGAATTATATATATTTACCTGCAATAGGCAAATTCACAAACAATGGTTACCAGGTGCTGGGCAGAGGGAAGAATAGGGAGTTATTGTGCAATGAGTAGAGTTTCTGTTTGGGCTTATGAAAAAGCTCTAGAGATGAATGGTAGTGATAGTTGCATAACAATGTCAGTGTACTTAATGCCACTGAATTGTAAATGAATTTAAAATGGGTTAAAAAAATCAATTCGGAAAAATTAACGTGAAAGTTGCCTGGGAATTTCTGAAAAGTAAGTATCCTGCCAGATATTAAAACATAAAAGACTTGTTTCTGGTACAGGAATTAACAAAGTTCAAGGAGATTGGAGGTTAGAACACGTATAAACTCAATGTATGATAAAGAGTTGGAGAGAAGACTACTCATTCAACAAATGGTGCTAGTTAGCTATTGGATAGTGGTAGGTGTTATAGGGAGAAGCCCTATATTTTATTTGCTATAACAGAATGAATTTCAGATGTATCAACGATTTAAATCCAAAGAATGAAATCAGAACACATGGTTGAAATATTTATATAATTTCAGAATGAGGAAAACCTAAAGTTTTGGTAAGAAAGACACAAAAGTCACAGCCATTAGGGAAAAGATTGATACATCCATCAATCCATTAATGTAAAATTTCTGAAGAGATAAATGACCACTGATAGGAGAATAGTTAAATAAAATATGATATATAATCAAGTCATCATTAGAAAGGATAAGAATAGACTGTGTGCAGGGTTCATGCCTGTAATCCCAGCACTTGGAGAGGCAGAGGTAGAAGGAATGGCCGAGCCCAGGAGGTTGGGGCTGCGGTGAGCCGTGATAGTGCCACTACAGACGGAGTGAGACTCCGACTCACAAAAAGAAAACAAAGGATGAGAATAAATCTAAACACAACCCTAATCTAAGACACTAAGTAGAAAAAGTACAAGTTGCAGAAAAATATGTACAATATGTCATTTTTAAGAAAAGAAAAATCAAACTATGCATAAGAAGATGCTGATGTACAGAAACAGATTACAATGGAAACCTTATACTATTAACAGCAATTAATTCTGGTAATGGACTAGAAAGAGAAATAACCTTTTATTCTATATACTTTTGTAATTTTTGAAATTTTACAAAAATATGTTTATATGCTACTTATATAATTAAAAGTCACAAAAAGCAATCTATATCCAGTAGTACAAAAAAAAGTAAAACTGACTAGTGAAAATCAAACAAAAAAGTCTGGAAAATGTTCAATTCATATTTAAAGTGCTTTAATTTATAATGAGCTCTAAGAAAAACCAACTAGAAAAATGTTTCAGAAACTTAACAACAACAATAAAAAAAGGCAAAGGACTTGGATAAATAAATGCAGACCAAAAAAATGTAGTGCCTCATTGATAATTAATGAAATATAATTAAAATTGGATGTTATTTTTCATCCATCATTTTAACAATATCAGGATAAAAGTTATCAAACCTGGATAATTTGAAACTGGAGGCTTGGTGGGATGAGTAGGCTTAGGACCTAGAAAAATAAATTTGGTTCTGTAAATTCACCAGCATTATCAATACAAAATTATAGATATAATTTTGATTTTTTTAAAAAAGATTATCAAAATGAAAAATACATATATTTTATAAGCTTCATAATTCTACTTCTTAGAATTGAATCTGCAAGTATATATGCACAAGTATATAAAGATGTATGCACAAGAATGCTTACTACAGCTTTGTATTTTATAATGGAAGTCCTAGAAGTTAACTAATAATGAATCATAAAAGTAATGATTTAAGGATAAGCATCTGTGTCTTTCAAAAACTCTAAGTGGTATCATACTACGTAATTTTCCACTTATAATTTTCTGGACATTTTTTCATATTAGTACAATTAGATTTACCTTAACACCATTATGTTGCTATTGATACTTTTGATATAGTCTTTCTGTGACACATCTGATATTAAAAAATGATTGACAATCCCATGAAGAATTTTGATTTAAAAAAAAAAATCCCTGTAGTTTCTCTTCTTTATAAACTTTTTCTCACAATCTATTATCTATCTCCTCATCTCTCAAACTCGTGAGTTAACATTGGTGGCTCAGCGAGTGTAAATTTCACATGCAATCTTGTTTTGCTCATATGTCAATCCACCAAAAATAATATCTTTGTGCCCCCCAAATCCTATAGCACTCAACTAAGGTACTCAAGGAAGCTATCAGTTACCAAGTTCTCAAAGGAACTATAAAAAGGTATCCTAACTACTATGCTAACATGTATAACTTCCCTTGATGCTTTAAAGTATTAGAGAGATAGGAAATATATAAACAAATTAGATTCCAGTAATTGGGATTTGAGTTCAATACCTTAATGAAACCAAAAGGAAACTCAAGTCCACAGAAGTGATATTAGCAGAGCCAAACCAGGAACCTGCACACAGTCTGTCTGCCCAGGCTAATGTTCTTCCCACTATTCCTGTCTCTTGCTTCTGCTCTAACCATAGAGAAGACAGAGAGTAATGCTAAAATCAGGATGGTAATTCCTTCTACCGTATCAAAATAATCTCTCCAGTCATAAGCACACCAGTTGATCAGTAGTCCCTGCAAGAAATCCTTCATTTCAGTTCAGTAAATAAGGATTTCTGCCTTTCAGTTGCTATGAAATTTAGCTGCTTTTGCCAAATAAAACTGCCCAGTAAAAAAGAAAATAATAATTATATGAGGTAAGGAAGATGGGTGGGGAGGAGGCAGAATTATAGGTCTTGTTCTGGAGACAGCAGAAATTTCACAGTTTAAATGTACTACATGAAAAGAATGGAACTGGTTGCATTCCAGGAAATGAAAGATAGCTCCAGACTAGGAACATACCCAGTAAAGGTGTCAACAGATCACTTCAAAAAGAATAGCAAAGTTGATGACCCAGAAAACATACATACATATTGACAAGCAAAACATACATATTAACATACATGGACTTTTCTCTTCCCTAACATTAATTCAAGTAGTGACACAAGTCATATTAGCTACCTTTAATAGCTTTCTATATACCAGACACTGTGCTAAGTACTTTAAATGCAACCCATTTAAGCTTTACTATTACCCAGCAAGGAAAGTACTAAATCATTTTAATTATGAGTAAACACAATCAAAGTTTACATAATTTTCTCAAGTTCACATTCTTGTTTATATCTGTGGACTATGGCAAACAATTTTAGAATCACTATGTATAAAAACTGCTGTACAAATGCTCTCCCTTTTTTATTACTAAAAATGAAGAATGAGTGGATATCACCAGGAATTTAAGTGACTTTTGGAAAAAAATCACCAGAAATTTAAAGGATTTTTGACATATATAAGCAAGAAGTTACTAAACCTGAGACACTGGTAATTGGAGATTTTGTACTGGAAGGAGTTGACACTGGAAAACAAAATAACAATGTAGATTGGATCAAACACATGGGAGTTAATGTCAGGAGTTTATAAGATTTTTGAGAAATACGAGGAGGAAGTTACTAAACCTGAATGACTCAAAGTCGGAAGCTTTGTACTGGGTGGAAGCAGTGCTGAAAGACAAAATAATATAAACTGGATCAACCACTTGGGGGTTATTGTTCTCATTTAATTACATGAATTATGCCTTTCATTCTTGACTTATTTAGATAAAAATGTTTTTGCTTCAACTCACTCCAAAAAGTTGTTGCAGTCCACTTTTTATACATAAGAATACTGAACAAGAGAAATGTATATATCTATGAGATGTACATAACATGCTAAGAAACCCAGAAAAGGATATAAAATAGCAGAATTTTATGTCATACATTAGCACAAAAGAGGATATAAGACAAAGTTAAATTCTAAAATCACTTCTTTTCATTTATTCTGTATCATTGATATTTAATATCAAAGAAATAAAATCTAAAAAAAAAAGAAAGAAGGAAACAAGACAGCCGTTGTACCTTTAAGACATGTTGGAATTGGGGGCTGCCAAGTACTGTTACTATCACAGACAACTGTGTCACTGCCATTGAGGTAAAAACCTTCATCACATTGAAACATAACCATCGCGTTGTAGAAAAATTTTTTTGCAAATCCTGATATCTGTTTTCCATTGTTGAGTACTGGAAATGGACATTTGACCACTGAAAAGTAGAGAAACCCCAGAATTAAAGGAAATCTGCTTTAACATAGGATCAGAAAAAGTAACACAAAGTAGTAAATTTCCAGTAGGAATAAAGAGGCAACGAACAGAATGCAAGATGTTAAAAACTTTTAAAAAAGACTTTACATGTTAAAAGTTTAAATATAAGCCGGGCTCGGTGGCTCAGCCTGTAATCCCGCGCCTTTGGGAGGCTGAGGTGAGTGAATTGCCTGAGCCCGCTGGTTCAAGACCCGCCTGGGCCGCGAGACCTCATCTCTACAATAAATAAAAAAATCAGCCGGACGTGGTAGCGCATGCCTGTAATTCCGGCTACTTGGAAGGCTGAGGCGGAAGGATCACCGGAGCCCAGCAGGTCGAGGCTGCAGTGGCCGTGAGGGGCCATTGAACTCCAGTCTGGGCGAGAGTGAAACTCCAACTTTAAAAAAAAAAAAAAAGTTTAAACATAAAGCGTTTCAATTGATTTATTCTTCTTGATGTAGAATTCTAGGATGTTTTGTTTCCCTTTCAGCATTTTTACAGACATCATTGTCTTCTAGCCCCAACAATTTTTAAGAGAAGTCAGCTGTCATTTTTACTTGCCCCTCCCCTCCTGAATATAATATGGTTTTGTTGTTGTTTTCCCTCTCATTGGCTGCTTTTTAAACTTTTGTTTTTAGTATTCGGTAAAAACTACCAAACTACTGGAGTTTTTGGTAAATGTTAATAATTTATTCATCCTGCTCAAGGTTCACTGAATTTTCTGGATCCGAGGTTGTTGTTTTGGATCTAATTGGGATCATTTTTGGCCAATATCTATTCAAAGAATTTTCTATACTGTTCTCTCTCCTCTTTCTGAAACTCCAATTATATGTATATTTGACTGCTTGATACCTTCCCACCGGTCTGTAAGTCTCTTTCTTTATCTTTTTAATCTTTCCTCTTAAATCATGTGGAATTTGTATTGACCTGCCTTCAGGATCACTAATCTTTGTGTTCAGTCATACATAATGATTTTTTTTAAAGTTAGGTTTAAGTCGCTGGAGAGGGTGTGGTGAAAAGGGAACACTCCTACACTGTTGGTGGGAGTGCAAACTGGTGCAACCTCTGTGGAAAACAGTGTGGCGATTCCTAAAAGCTCTAAATATCAACCTCCCATATGACCCTGCAATCCCCCTACTGGGAATATACCCTGAAGAACTCAAATCACTCTACCAAAAAGATACCTGCACACGTATGTTTATCACAGCATTGTTCACAATAGCAAGAACTTGGAATCAACCATACTTTCCATCAAAAGAGGACTGGATTAAAAAGATGTGGTATATATACATGATGGAATACTATGCAGCCTAAAAAAGAATAAAATCATGAACTTTGCAGCAACCTGGATGGAACTAGAGTCAATAATACTGAGTGACCTCTCACAGAAACAAAGATCTG